TGTAATATAATGCAATAAGTTGATGGGCATTTAGGTTGATTCTAGGTCTTAGCTATTGTGAATTGAGCTGCAATAAACACTGAGGTGCAGAGAGCTCTTTTATTTGCCAATTTAATTTCCTTTGGGTCAATTCCAAGGAGTGGGATGGCTGGGTTGTGGTTATATAAATGCCCATCAACAGCAGACTGGATAAAGAAATTATGGGATATATACTCTATAGAATACTATACAGCAGTAAAAAAAAATGCGATCATTTGCAACACAATGGAACAATCTGGAAAACATCATGCTGAGTGAAATAAGCCAGTCCCAAAGGGACAAATATCATATGTTCTCCCTGATTGGTGACAACTAACTGAGCACCAAAAAGGAGACCTGTTGAAGTGAAATGAACACTATGAGAAACGGTGACTTGATCAGCCTTTGTCCTGTCAAAAAACAACTTAATACTTTATCCCTTTTAGTATTTTTTTTGTTCTACTTAATACCATTGGTTGAACTCTTTAATTAACACACAATTATTCTTAAGTGTTTAAATTTAACTGAAAAGTGATCCCTGTTAAATATAAGAGTGGGAATAAGAGAGAGAGGAGATGTTTGGCACATGCTCAATTGGACTTGCCCCAAACGTAAGAATTAGAAATGTGCCAGAGGATTCCAATTCAATCCCATCAAGGTGGCATGTACCAATGCCATCTCACTAGTCCAAGTGATCAGTTTCAGTTCATAATTGATCATAATGATAGGATTAAGACTCAAAGGGATCACATAAACAAGACTAGTGTCTGCTAATAATAACTGATAGAATGAAAAAGGAGAGAATGATCCAACATGGGAAGCATGATAGAAAGCAGACTCATAGAATGGCAGATATCCTAAGCAGCACTCTGGCCTCAGAATCAGCCCTTAAGGCATTCGGATCTGGCTAAAAAGTCCATGAGAGTATTTCAGGCATGGAAAGCCAAGACACTCTGGGGAAAAAAAAAAAATGACCTAAATGAAAGATCTCCATGAGTGAGATCCCAGCAGAAAGAACGGGCCATCAAAGAAGGAGGTACCTTTCTCTGAAGGGAGGAAAGAACTTCCACTTTGACTATGACCTTGTCTAAATAAGAGCGGAGTTGGTGAACTCAAAAGGCTTCCATAGCCTTGGCAACTCATGACAAGAGCCTTGGGTGATTACTGACGCCATAAACTAGAATGTCCATTGTTAAATCAACAACAGGAGTTACTGTGCACTTACTCCCCATGTAGGATCTCTGTCCTTAATGTGTCGTACTATGTGAATTAACGGTATAACTAGTACTCAAAAAGTACTTTACATTTTGTGTTTCTGTGTGGGTGCAAACTGTTGAAATCTTTACTTAATATATGCTAAATTGATCTTCTGTATATAAAAATAATTGAAAATGGGCTGGCGCTGCGGCTCACTAGGCTAATCCTCTGCCTTGCGGCGCCGGCACACCGGGTTCTAGTCCCGGTCGGGGCACCGGATTCTGTCCCGGTTGCCCCTCTTCCAGGCCAGCTCTCTACTGTGGCCAGGGAAGTGCAGTGGAGGATGGCCCAAATGCTTGGGCCCTGCACCCCATGGGAGACCAGGATAAGCACCTGGCTCCTGCCATAGGATCAGCGCAGTGCACCGGCCGCAGCGCGCTGGCCGCGGTGGCCATTGGAGGGTGAACCAACAGCAAAGGAAGACCTTTCTCTCTGTCTCTCTCTCTCACTGTCCACTCTGCCTGTCAAAAAATAAAAATAAAATAAATAAAATAAAGTAATTGAAAATGAATCTTGATGTGAATGGGATGGTAGAGGGAGCAGGAGATGGGATGGTTGTGGGTGGGAGGGAGGCTATTGGGGGAAAAAGCCACTGTAATCCAAAAGCTGTACTTTGGAAATTTATATTTATTAAATAAAGTTAAAAAATATATATAATGCAATAAGTGACATCTTTTGCTATCGTGAAGAGAAAAGCCATCAAGAATCAACAGTTTTAACAGGACAAAAATCTGGACAAACTAAGAGGTAGATCTAGGCCAGCCTAACAGTAGGAGAAAGCCCTATCTCAAAAAAAAAAAAAATTTTGCTCTCCCATGCCTTATTTTGTATGAGTAACTTCATATTCTATATACTTAACAACTCAGATCAAAATACCTGTTGAGTTTATTTACTGTCCATAATAAAACCACTCACCTAGAGAGTTTAACATTATTGAACTTTAGGCCTACCACAGACGTAATGCCACAGAACATGTTTAGTGTTTTAAATACTTATCTGTACAGAAATTTCTCTAATATATAATTTCATTTCCCAAATGCCTGATTTAAAGTAAACTTGCTGCCGTAACTAAGGAGCTAATATCAAGCTAGACAAAGTAGGATTGTTCTCTGCTGCTAGTTAAAAATGTTTCCAATTTTTCTAATAAACTCAAAAGCAAAAAAATTAATTCTTATTATTAAGGTAATTAACTTCAACAATTTCATGCGCTACCCAATACACACAAAGTCTATAGCTCCAACCGTCCGGTACAGCAAAAATCATTAAAATCCAGTAAGTGCAAAAACATCTATTTTTTTCTAACTAAAATAGAAACCTTTATTATAGAAGATACATTTCCCTGCATTCAAGCAACGAGCTTCCAATTACAAACAAGAATCATGACTATACTTCTGTTTCATAAGAAGAAAACAACAAGGAACCTATTATAATTTGGGAGTTATATGACAATTCAGAGCCCAAAAAAATAAACAATTATAGTACAAATGTAATATTCTTATTACAGAATATATTCAACACTTGAATCATGACAAATTAATTTAATTTTTTATTTATTTATTTTTATTTGAAGAACAGAGAGGAGCAGGCAATTGCTGCAGTAGGCCTCAGATGGCATATCCCCTATCAGAGTGCTTGAGATCCTAATTCCACTTCCAATCATGATAACATGCATTCTGGGAGGCAGCAGGTGATGGCTCAAGTACTAGGGTCCCTGCCACCCATGTGGGAGACCCATATTTAGTCCAAGGCTCCTGCAGCCATTTTGGGGGTGAACCAGTAAACAGAAGATCTCTTTATCTTGGTCTCTCACACTCCCTCACTCCTCTCCTTCTCTGGCTCTCTTTTACTCCCCTTTGTCTCTGTCTCTGTCCCCCTCTGTTTCTCTAAGTTTGAAGTAAAGTAAAAATTTTTTTAAAAAATTTATTTTATCTTTTAAAAGGCACAATTACACAGAGAGAGAAGGAGAGACAGAGAGAGACATCTTCCTTCCAATGGTTCCCTCTCCAATTCACCGCAATGGCTAGGGCTAGGCCAGACCAAACCCAGGAGCCAGGAGCTTCATCAGGGTCAGCCATGTAAGTGCAGGGGCCCAGGGACTTGTGCCATCTTCTGATGCCTTTCCAAGCACATTAGCAGAGAGCTAGATCAGAAGTGGAGCAGCCAGGACATGAACTGGCACCCATATGAGATGCCAGCATCACAGACGGTTGCTTTACTCACTACTCCACAATACCACCTCATAAAAATAAATTTAAAAGAGAGAAGATAAATACATAGAGAGCTTCCATCTACTGTTTAACTCCTTAAATGCCAGCAACAGCTGTAATGGGCAAAACTGAAGACAGAAGCCAAGAATCCAATCCTGGTCTACCACATGGATGTCAGGGATCTAATTTTTGAGTCATCACCAGCTGCATATTGACAGAAAGATGGAATTGGAAGCCAGGATGAGAACTGAACCAGGCACTCCAATATGGGATACAGGTGTCCCAAGCCGCTATGCAAATTGCCTACCTCACGAAGGAACACACTTAACTGGTTTTCCAAGAGTTTACTGAAGATGAGTCAATGAATTCCAAAGGAAGTAAAAATAGAATGAAACAGTAATAAAAATTAATCATTTTCTTCCAGAATTCTGTAGTATCTTTACTCTTAAAAAAAAAATCTATTTATTTATTTGAAAGGCAGAGATACAGAGAGAGATGGTGAGACAGAGAGAAAGAAAGAGAGATCTTCCACCCACCAGTTCACTTCCCAAATGGCTGTAATGACCAGGGCTGGCCAAGCCGAAGCCAGGAGCCAGGAGTTTCCTCTAGGTCTCCAGTATGGGGTCCAAGGACTTGGGCCATTCTCCACTGCTTTCCCAGGAACATCAGAAGGGAGCTGGATCAGATGTGTAGCAGCTGGGACTCTGAGTATCTTTACCTCTTATATACCTAGTCAAGTAAGCTAAACTGCCATATCCCTGAAAGATCAACTTTGAAATATGTAGCAAATTTTCAAGTGTGTGTATCTTTTAAATCAGCAATTCCACTTCCAATAATTCTGCAGGATTACATAAAAATATGTATATAAATATGTATATAATAATAAATGCTACATTGTTCACACTTGACAAAAGAAGAAACTGGATAAATGCATACTATGAAGTTTAACATAAAGATGCAAAAGAATATATGTACTGTTCAAAAGCATGAAGTAGAGTTATATCGAGTCCTATGGAAATGATATAATTAAAGGGAAAAAAGCTACCAAACATATTTTATATTATCCCACCTTTAAGGCAATCAAATATATGCTTGTATATGCACAGAAAATGTTTGGAAGAGGGAAGAAACTGTCAAAATTGTTATCTCTTTGGATTGGAACTAAGAAGAGCTTTATTTTAAAATATAATGAGCACATATCACTTTAAAATAAACCATCTTAAAATCCTTATCTCTCCATGAAGGTATCCATTGTCCAAATTTAATTAGTGTCTAATTCATGACATGAATTCTTCTGTCTCTAACGTGCAGCTTTTCAACTCAACAGAATCTAATCTACATAAGCTAGTGAGCAATCCATCTGATAGGCTATTCTAATTTTAAACTATAATACAGTAAAATAGTTTAAAAACTAAAGCTGTTCACAATGATTATCTCATTTATCTCACATGTGCACTCCCCAAAAAGCATATTCCCAAAAAGACAGTTAAGAAAAAAAATGCAGGGAAATATTCTCACTTGTTCTATAGCACCAGCCTGTCCATTACTATATTCTCGGTATCGTCCAAGCATCTGGTCCACTTGTCTCAGGTTTCGACTGGTGTCCTTGAGAAAGATAATGGACTAATTACTAATTGTCTCAAACACTGTTTTACCCAATCAATTCTGGTAGTACGTCAAATGGCTATAGTCAAAAATTTGTAAAACATTTAATTTATATCATAATTAAATTGGATACCAAGTAAATCTTATCACCAATGAAACAGCAACTTAAAACTATCTGCAATTTACTTTTGTGAAATACAAAGCACATAATTTAAATCTTTATCTAAGGTTCCATAATAAACTGGCAACTAAAGCATAAATGGAAAAGAATCTGCATTATCTCATTTGTGTACCTCTGCTAATTCAGACCCACTTTAAAGAAAAGAAATCTTAAAAGAGGAAATCTAGTAGACTGTGTACAAAGAAGCAAATCATTGGGAGCAATACTATTTCAATCATTACTTCACCTCAAAACTTCATTAGGAGAAACAAAAAAAAAAGTATCCTTTAATCTTTAGCTATAATCAACAAATTTAGCTCTGATCTCAACAAAAATTATCCCACCTAAATATGGTAGGTTCCACTTGAGAAACTAATCAAAGTATTTCAAAAATATCCACTTACTAATGTGTTTAACTGGTGAGAAATTATAAAGGTTCATCATCTAAAATTCCAATTTTATATTAGTTTGAATAGTTCAAAAATGAATAGGTCTTGGATAAGGCAGACAGAGAGAGAGAGAGAGAGAGGGAGAGAGAGATAAAGAGATATCCACTATTCACTAGTTTACTCCCCAGATCTCTACAACAGTCAGGACTGGACTGAGCCAAACCAAATTCAGGAGCCAGGACCTCAGTTCAGGTTTCCCATGTGAGTGGCAGGGATACAAACATTTGAGCTATCACCTGCCACCTCCTGATATATGCATTAACAGGAAGGTAGTAACAGAAGCAGAGTTCAAACTCAAACCCATGCACTCCAATATGGGATACTCAGGTGGCCCAGGTGGTATCTTATGCCAAATGCCTATCTCCTTCTTACTTTTTAAACTGAATTATGGCTTCTATCCCAGAAATCATCCTCTTTTTATCTCAGCATATAAGCCCAAAGCAATAAAAACCAAAATCCATGCTTATCTAGACTAAGGCAAAAGGGATCAATAAATAGGAAAAAAATTCTATTTCTGAATTTTGCTTTTTTCCAGGGTGACTCTGCTATCCTCCCACATCTTTTCCCAAGAAAGCATGCCAACTGTCTCCACTCAAACTCCCAACTACTGTCAAATGTTAGCCTCTAAATAAAAATGCTATCTCTATATTACTCATCCATAAATAAACTACTTCATTAAAACATGAACAACTTCTCTAAAGCCCCATGTCCATAAGAAGCTCAACTATGGCAATCTCAAAGTATTATTCCCACAATATTTTATTTGGAAATACTGCTTTATCCCTAAATACTCTTCCACAACTTATCATGTATTTTAATTATCTTTTTTGACTGCAGAAAGCAGAATGGCCCTCAAATATTTCTAAGATCCAATCCCTGGAACTCGCAAAAACACACTTTACACAGCAAAGAGGGTTTCACAGGTGGGGCTAAATATAAAACCTAGAGCTGGGAAGATTCTCCTGGATTAACTGGAGGACCAAAGAAGCCCCAAGCATCCTTAGAAGAAGAAAAGGGAAATAGGGAAGGTGGCATGATATAATCTGAGAAGAATCCAACCCACCCTTGCTGGCTCTGAAGAAGAAGGAAGGGGCCACAAGATAAGTTGGGTAACCTAGAAACTAGAAAAGACCAGGATCAAATTTTCCCCTCAAGTCTCTGGAAAGAAATGCAGCCCTCCAAATCTCCTAGTTTTTAGTTCAAGACCAATGGTAGACTTCTGACTTACAGACCCATAAGATAATAAATTTTGCTATTTTAAGACCCCAGTTTTATGGTAATTTATTATAGCAACAAGAAAACTAATACACTCTCTGAAACTTACTCAGCTCAAGCTACTGAAAATCTGTGAAATGCAATCACTGTTTTACTAACCTGTAAAGTACTGGTGATAGTGTTGACCTTCTCGGTGACGTCTACTGCAGGATGACTTCGAATTCCCCTGTGAGTTGACCTGGCAGCCCATCGACTCAATCGGTCATGACAGTGGAAGCGGTCTGAATCACTGGACGATTCTGCCATTGATGTACATAAGTCCTCAAAAATAAATTCAGAGCAAAGTCTACTAAGCTATAAGAACATATTTATCTTCAAAAAATAAAAATACAACAAACACAGCACATACTATAAAAGAATCCTATGAACAGTGAAAAATCTCATGCATCTTCATTTAAAATATAGAAGTAAATGTTGTAAAAAAAAAAAAAAAAAGAGGCACAGATTCTATTATAGGAATATGGCAGAAGACAGCATCTTTAACATCTCCCTCCACCAAAACAGACGGGCAAATATCTTGGGTGTAATTTCAAAAGTAGAAAATTCTCTAGGTACTTTTTTTCTCTCATTTTTACCTCAATATCCTATTAATGCATAAGAAAATTATTTCATGCAAAAAGAGCCCAAAGTTTCAGAAAACTTTGTTGAAACACTTAAAAACAAAGAAACATTAAAAAAAAGAAACATCAGAGAAAAATCACTGATTAGAAGTAAACATTTATTGAGTATTCCAATACTTCCATTTTCTGCTTTATGTGGGGAAACTTCATCTTTAACATTAATTGTTATGATCTTCCTAAAATCTATGACTGTTTTTTCTAGCTTATTAATTTCAGTGTGATGAAACTTTTCTTTAATGACAAATTATTCTGGACCTCAAGGATCCTTATTTTGATTGCATCTGAGAAGAACATAAGTATATTTTCCCTTAAGAGAAAATAACCAGATTTTTCTAAATGTATAGACCCCAGAACATTTAATAAAGCAATCAGATTTTTAAAGTATTTAACAAAATTAACAAAAATAAACAAGCAAGGATTCTCACTGTGAGCTTAGGTCTTTCAAATCAAAATACAATCTGTCCTTGCCATTTTGGAAAAAGAATCAACAAGCTATTCAACTTCACACTAACCGAGACAGGGCTAGAGAATATCCTATCCAACACCTACACTTCTCTGCCCATGGCTCTCAACTTTATTCTGCACCTATCTCCTCTGGAAGTAAAAACACAAACAAGAAACTAAAAGTCTCACATTGCATTTCCTAGCTCACAACTGTTTAAGGCCTAAAGAATGAAGTTATGAAGAAAAGAATCTCAAATACACAGACCATCTTTTAAAGGAAATTACTTGCTGTGTGTCTCATAAACATAGGCCACATGATCTAAAATCTTTTACTCTGTGTTCCAGTTTTTTCCAATTAGTGAAAGCAGGAAAAACCAACATTTTCTGAAAACCTGCTTTTATGCCAGGTACTTTATGGACATTTACATAGACAATAAAAATTAATTCTCTAAACAATGTATTAAAGTGAACACCATTAACCCCTAGTTTATACTGAGGCTATGAGGTGTGAAGTAATGTAACAACTCTGTAAGCAGCAGACCCAGGACTCAACCTGCAGTCTCTGCCTTCAGTGCTGTTCATGTCGCTGGGCTCTACAGTCTGTGACATACACATTGAATAATCATAATGAAAATTGCTTTAAAAAAGTAACACAGGTCATGGCCTTTATGTGTCTAGTCTCAACCTTAATTTCTATTATTTTGAGCAATAAATAAACTCCTGTATCTGATGGAGCTTTAGCTGAGAGAGAGATTTAGAGTGCGGTGTATCTAAGAAATTTACATGGCTTTTTTTTTGAGCATTCAGCAACCATCAAGGATTTTAATTACATAAGTTCCATAAATGGTAAACTAATGAAAATTGAAGAATAAAAAACAGAAATATATTCTTTTCATGGTTAATCGAAACTTCAGACTCTTTTCAACTATCACTAACCTTTCAAAAGGTCAAATGTGATTCACATAAATGAGATAAGACCTAAACTTATATGTCGAGAAGAAGCTATAGTGACAAAGTGGCAGTCTTACCAAAATTGCCAGTCTATCCTTAACCACCTCACTGTTCCTCAGATAAGAAGTTGACAGAGGGAGAGAGGAACAAGTAAGAATGGAGTGGCCTCGGTAAGATGCTTACACCACATAATCAGAACCTAGGGGTAGAATGCATGGAGCATCAGCAAAATAGTTCCTGAGAGCCCCTTAATATAAGTGATTCGATAGGAAAACTACAATGCTGTTAGTGTCAATTATTCATTATGCATGAATTATTAACAATCTATTATTTTATACAATTTAAAAATTAATTTTACAAAAGTATAATGAATCCTAACATCATTTATCATTAATGAAAATTTAACCAGGCTTTTGAAAATCATCTCTCCAATGGTACTATATGTAATATATTAGATTCATCCCACATTAATCAAACCTATACTGAGAGTGGTCACATAAGAAAATTAATATGCATGGACATGAAAAAAAAAATGTTCAGCCTAATAATCTAAAAAATGTAGAAAAAAAACAGTGAGATGTCTTCCCATCTATTGTTTTATTTTAAATAATAATGTCTATGGTTAGTGAAGTTATAGGGGAAAGAGCATTCTGTCCTCTCTTAATGGGAATATGTAAATTGATATAACCCATCTGGATGTCAGGAGACAGCAGGCAGCAAGCACAGTTTGTACCTTCCATCAAGTAATTAATTACCTGTCCAAGAATTTCCCCTACATGAACACCTGAAATACATACAAAAATTTATATGTAGGGGCTGGCACTGTGGTGTTGCAGGTAACGCCTACGCCTGCAGTGTAGGCATCCCATGTGAGCACCAGTTCAAGTCCCAGCTGCTCCACTTCTGATCCAGCTCTCTGCTATGGCCTGGGAAAGCAGTGGAAGATGGCTCAAGTCCTTGGGCCCCTGCACCCTCATGGGAGACCTGGCTTCAGAACAGCACTGCTCCGGGCTGCTACGGCCAACTGGGAAGCAAACCAGTGGATGGAAGACCTCTCTCTCTCACTGTCTCTGTCTTTTTCTCTCATTCTCTCTCTGTAACTCCACCTTTCAAACAAAATAAATAAATCTTAAAAAAAAAAATTATATGTAAGGATATTCACTGTAAAGCTACAGAAGGAAAATAAAAACAACTTAAATTATAAAATACAGTACATGTGCATAAAATGAAAAAGTACACGAACAATAAAAACCCTGTTTTGGGTGTGGGCATTTCATGTAACAGTAAGATGTCGTTTGAGATACCCACATCGCATTTCAAAGTTTTTGATTTCTAGTCCCAGCTCCACTACTGAGTCTATCGTTCCTGCTAATGCAGACCCTGGGAAGCAGCAGGTGATCAATCAAGTACTTGGGTCCTTGACATCCGTATGGGAGATCCAGTCTGAGTTCTTAGCCACAGATTTCAGAAGCCTGGCCCTGTCCCAGATGTTCCAATCATCAGAGTGAACCAATTTTTTAAAAATAAATAAGCAATATTTTTTAAATAAAAACCTTGTCCTTAAAGAATACTTGTAAAGCAAGGGATGAAAGTATGAAATCAAATTACATAATGTTACCTATGTTTGTACATAAATTACCCGTCTATAAATTTAGAGGCATGGGAAAGAGCAGGGATAAAAGAAAGAAAAATGCATCAAAAATATTTTTCCTTTCAGAGTTTTTGCCATTTTGTATTTTTTAAACATTTTATAAATTCTCTACAAAGGATGTATATTCATGTATAATCTTAATTAAAATATAATATATATAAAGGTAAACAAATATAAAGATCACCTTCAGAGATGGCAAGTTAGCAGTGTAATAACAGAGTAATAGGCTGAAAAGCATAAAAATGAATTTAAATAAAAGTTCTCTATTCAGAACTCCCTTTTTCTTGGTGCCTATTTGCCTTTCCTCTCTGGCTACTTCTTACCTTACTATTTTCCCACCGTGTATCTAGATAGGAACCACGTCACTAGTTCTCACCAACCGATGAGCTGAAGAAATGGGAACATAATGCCAGTCTCTCCTATTTCATAATAAAGAACACTGGCTAGAAAACTGAACTATTTATCATGAGTTTATGAGCTAGAAGAAAAAAAAATTTTTGTTTATTATTGTCTGTAATTTTGCTGAAGGACAGCTTTGTAAAATTGACTCACTTAAGGAAACACTATAAATGCTGGAATACACTTAAAATTCAAGTACTATATAGAGGCCAGCATTGTAGCACAGCATTTAAGCCACCACTTTCAATACCAGCATACCATTTTGGAGCACCAGTTCACATCCTAGATGCTCTGTTTCTGATCCAACTCCCTGTCAATGTGCCTGAGAACGCAGCAGAGGATGGCCCAGACAGTTGGGCCCCTGTCAACCATGTGAGAAAACAGGGTGGCAATCCTGACTTAAGGCTGTGACTGGACCAGTTCCAGCCAATGCAGTCTTTCGGGGAGTGATCCAGTAGATGGACTCGCTCTTTTCCCCCTCCCTCTCTCTCTCTGTCACTCTGCCTTTCAAATAAATAATTAAACCTTGTTAAGAATTAAAGTATTATGTGTGCTGTACCATGCAAATTAACAGTAAAACTACTACTCAAACAGTATTTTATACATTGTTTGTCTGTGTTGGTGCAGACTGTTGAAATCTTTACTTAGTATACACTAAGTTGATCTTCTGTATATAAAGATAATTGAAAATGAATCTTGATAAAGAATGGGATGGGAGAGGGAACCGGAGATGGGATGGTTGCAGGGGAGAGGGAGGTTATGGGGAGAAAAGTTGCTATAATTCAAAAGTTGTAGCTGGGAAATTTATATTTATTAAATAAAAGGTGAAAAAAGAAAAAAAAAGAATTAAAGTATTATGTAAAAATATATTAATATATGTTTACCTTGCTTATATAACCAAATTGTACTTTGAAAATAAATTCAAAATAGTTCATTAGTGATACATAATCAATATTACAACCTGAAGCCCAAAGAAGAATTAAGTAGAGTAGAAAAACATCCATGTATGCTCAAGGAAATTTTCCATCATTATTTTTAAAGATTTAAAAGAAAAAAAATAAACTGGATGAGAAATCTATTTTCATTATCATAACAAATGTTAGCATGACACTTGATGAAAGAAATGAAGGAACTGCTACATTTGAACAATGACTACACTCCTGAAAAATAATTTAAAGAAACACTTTTAGTGAAAG